TGAGCGCAAAGCATCTGGGCAAGAATGCAACTAGCTGGGCAAATCAAGGGAAGTGGAACAGGTTTTTCAGCAAGATTTGCTCATGAATTACCCGAGAAATCACATTCAACGGCAACGCCTCTCCTGATCACTCAGTTGCCAATTCGACATGTCTGTGACAGGCTGCATTTGAGGATATAAGCTCTTTGGGTTATGCCTCTTAGGGCCAAGCTACTCCAAGTGTATGCCGGGTGCACTGACAATCAGGAAGTTACCAGAAATTCTAATTCTCGGGCACGATGGCCAGAATCTGCCTGCCAGTGCAGGAGACAGGAGCTGCTGGTCTGACCCCTGGGTCGGGCAGGTCCCCGGGAGCAGGAAATGGCAACCCACTCCAGTATTCCTGCCTGGAAAAGCCCATGGACGGAGGAGCCTGGTGAGCTACGGTCCACGGGGTCGCAAAGAGTCAGACACGACTGAACACAGAACAAAACACCTACTGCCTAATGAACCAGAACCTACTTTTTAACAAGATCCCAGGAGATGTGCACACAGGTAAGTGTGGGGAGCACTGTTCCCGCGGGTTTGTATGCAAGCATTCTATATTAAAATAAATTGTATCCGTTCATTTTTTAATTTTTTTTGTTATAGTTAGGGCATTCTGATTTTTATAAAGTACCTGTGTAGAGTATTTTATCAATGAAATGTTAAGTGGATATAACAGATATCTGTGCTTTTTAAAATGTTTTTTTTAGCATTGGCTCTTTTGCCAGTTTGTGTTTCTTTTGTCAAACACATGCAAATCCTTTTTTAATTTACATTTAATTTTTATTTTATATTGGGACATAGTTGATTTACAGTGTTGTGTTAGTTCTAGGCATTTTGTTTTAAATAGAAAAAATTATGTCAGTGATTATCAATTCTTTTTAGCCTAAAAATACTAGCTGAAGACTGGGAGCTACCCAATTAATGGTATCACCACTGACAGAAATTCATGTTACCACCACCCACAAACCAGATGGATCACCTTAGACGATCATAGCAATCCAAATCAGGGTCAAACCCCAGGGTTCTCTGGGATAGAGACTTGCCTTTTCCCTCACTGGCCATCCTCTTACTCGCAATGATCAGCGTCATGGCCAAGTTAGTCCCCCTCCCCCCACGACCATGGTTTCCCTGGAGGCTCAGGCGGTAAAGCGTCTACCTACAATGCAGGAGACCAGGGTTCGATCCCTGGGTCAGAAAGATCCCCTAGAGAAGGGAATGGCCACCCACTCCAGTATTCTTGCCTGGGAAACCACATGAGCAGAGGAGCCCGGCGGGCTCCAGCCCATGGGGTCGCAAAGAGTCAGACATGACCGAGCAACTAATAGACACCCCCCACTGCAAAATTTTCTCCCACCGTATCCAGGAAAGTTTTTCAAATCCTCGTATGCTCTGCAAGTAACCCCACCTGAGTAGTGAAGCGGGTACAGATAGAATCTTTAATAGTGGTATTGAAACTTTATGATTATATAGGAGACTTTCTGAGCTTCCAGAATGTTACACACACCTACAGACAACTAGTATAAAAATACACTTCCAGGGTCAAAGTGGATGATGTGGCAGGGATAAGATGGGTCAGTGTTGATACTTGGATAACAGGTTATCTTTCCTCATTATGGCATAAAACACTCAAAGAAATGGTTATTTCAATTATAAAAGCTAAATGACATAATCTTAGTTTGAATTATGCCACTGTCAAGAGAATCAGAAACCGAATCACCCAAGTTTCAGCTACACTAATTATCTAGGAAAATCTAATCACTTCCAAATAAAGAAACATTTGACCTTGTGTATATGAAGCATGCTAGAATTATCGTTTGGGCAAAACTTTTCGAGGACACATTATATATTTCTGATATTTATGGCATTTTTCATATGTTCTGATGCAGTTTTCAGCAATTCAAAGAGAAATACCCAGTTTCCCAGTTATATTTCCTGATTAGGGGCTTTGTATGAATCATTTATGAGGCTGCCCTGCTGACTAAGTGGTAAGTGCCTGCCAATGCAGGAGATTCAGGTTCAGTCCCTTGGTCAGGAAGACCCCCTGGAGAAGAAAACGGCAGCCCATTGAAGTACTCTTGTTTGGGGAATCCCATGGACAGAGGATATTTAAGAGTACAGGTATAAAGATGGAAAAGAGCACTTTAAAAAGTCAGAAAGCCACAAGACTTCCCTGGTGTTCAGTGGTTAAGACTCTGTGCTTTCAGTGTGGAGGGTGTGGGTTCGATCCCTGGTCAGGGAACTAAGATCCAACATACTGCAGAGCATGGTCAAAAAGAAAAATAAAAAAGGAAGACCGGCACTTAGCCACTGCATTGCATTATCAGCACTGTGATTCCAGCTCAAATATCAAACTCTGCAAATCAGTCTCCACTTCTGCAAAGGAAGTCAGTGGACCCAATGGCCTCTCACTTTCTTTCCTGCTAGAATATGTGATCATAGCCAACGAGCAAACGAGTAAATGCATTCTTTAAATGTACAGTAATATTGTCACATCTCCAGACTCAACCTCAATATTAGATCTCTTGATGATCTTGCAAGGGATCATAACTGTCAACCCTAGGCCATATATGTTCTTGGAAGAAAGCAGTGTCATTCTTTTTTTTTTTTTTTAAGCAATGTCATTCTTGATACAAAAAGTCAGGTACAATTTGTTTCTAAAATAATGTTTTAACTTTTTTTTTCTGCTTTTTAAAATTTTTTTTAGTATGTTAACTTTTTTGCCGTCCTGAGTAAAATTAACTAGCATTTTTGATCAAATGGAATTCAGAGAAGTAGGCCACAAGAAAAGGGGTCACAAACCCCAGGCCAAAGGAAATCCACAAGACATTGAAAATGTTGGCGATACAGCACTGTTTATAATAGCCAGGACATGGAAGCAACCTAGATGCCCATCAGCAGACGAATGGATGAGGAAGCTGTGGTACATATACACCATGGAATATTACTCAGCCATTAAAAAGAATTCATTTGAATCAGTTCTAGTGAGATGGATGAAACTGGAGCCCATTATACAGAGTGAAGTAAGCCAGAAAGATAAAGACCATTACAGTATACTAACACATATATATGGAATTTAGAAAGATGGTAACGATAACCCTATATGCAAAACAGAAAAAGAGACTCCGATGTATAGAACAGACTTGTGGACTCTGGGAGAAGGCGAGGGTGGGATGTTTCAAGAGAACAGCATCGAAACACGTATATTATCTAGGGTGAAACAGATCACCAGTCCAGGTTGGGTGCATGAGACAAGTGCTCGGGCCTGGTGTACTGGGAAGACCCAGAGGGATTGGGTGGAGAGGGAGGTGGGAGGGGGACCGGGATGGGGAATACATGTAAATCCATGGCTAATTCATTTCAATGTATGACAAAAACCACTGCAATGATGTAAAGTAATTAGCCTCCAACTAATAAAAATAAATGAAAAAAAAAAAAAAGAAAGAAAATGTTGGCGATAGAGGGCAGAAAAAGCAGTTAACATGTATGATAATAACCTAGATTTGGCTAAATTCCTAAACTCTAGTGACTTAAATTCCATCAGTTTGACAGACTTCATTTGTACAGGTTGCAATCTGTTTAAATACTTTTCTTATATTTTTGCAGCAATATAAAGCAGATTGTAGGCATTTACTGCAAATCTTTGGCAACATGGCAAAATCTACCAAAATTCAAAACGTGTTTGACCTTTGATTCAACAGCTCTACTTCTTCCATTCCATTCAACAAATACTGGCAGAAGTACAGAAGGATGTGTATACAGGAGGTTTTTCCCTGCAGGGCGGTTTGCAATGTAGGAAAACACAAGGCAAGCTGAGTCAATAGCCGGCAGTAAGACAGCAGTCACGGACACTGCACGCTCAGTTCACTCTGAAGTGACTCTGATTGACAGAAAAGTTGCAAAAATAGTGCAACGAATTTCCATATGCCCTGTACTGAGAATCCCCAAATGGCAACATGTTATTACAATTGCTTTATTGTCTCTCTCTCTCCATACACACACACACACACACACATACACACAAGCAAATCTGTCATTTACAGCAACATTTAAAAACACTTCTTGAGCAAATCAAAACTACAATGAGGTACCACCTCACTTCAATCAGAATGGCTATCATTAAAAAGTCTACAAATAACAAATGCTGGAAAGGGCATAGAGCAAAAGGAACCTTCCTACAGTGTTGGTGGGAATGTAAATTGGGGCAGCCCCTATGGAGAACAGTCTGGAGGTTCCTCAGAAAACTAGAAATACCATGTGATCCAGCAATTCCACTCCTGGATATATATTTATAGAGAAAACCATAATTCAAAAAAATATGTGCACTCCAGTGTTCATAGCAGTACTGTTACACTAGTCACCACGTGGAAGCAAACTAAATGTCCACTGACAGATGACTGGATGAAGAAAAACTGTGGTACATATATACAGGGAATATTACTCAGTCCTCAAAACGGAATGAAATAATGCCATTTGCAGCAACATGCATGGATCTGGAGATGGTCATACTGAGTGAAGTAAGTCAGACAGAAATAGACAAATACTACATGATATCCCTTATATGTGGAATCTAATATGACACAAATGAACCTATCAATGAAACAGAAAGAGACTCACAGAGGTAGAAAACCGGCTCGCGACTGCCTAGGGGAGCAGGGCTGGGGGAGGGCTAGGTTGGGAGTTTGAGGTTGGCATATGCAGACTCCTCCATTTAGAATGGATAAACAACAAGGCTCCACCGTGCGGCACCAGGAATTGTATATTCAGTGTGGTGGTGCCGTATGATAAACTATGATGGAAAAGAATGTATATATTCACTATACATATATATGAGTCGTTTTGCTGTACAGAGGACAATCTGGTTCTTTCGCACAGAATGCCTCTCAGTTTGGGTTCTGCCTGATGGTTCTCTGGCTCAGTTACGCATCTGTAAGTAAATGTGTACTTGATGACATCGAAGACCTGCGGATATTTCACTAACGGGAAACGCGGTCATATGTGCCACGGTCGCGACAGGAAGCGGAGGACCCACTGAAAGAATCTAAGTAAGACTGTTTTGACACAGGGAGGCTTTTCAGAGGCGCGGGTGGGCTTGAGGGGCAGCGCGGGGTCAGGGCACCCCCAGGCGGCGGGAGCGCGTCCCGAGTGGGCAGAGCCCGAGGTGCGGGAGGAGGGCACCGCGAGCTGCCGGCGCGGGCCGGTCCGAGGCCCGCAAGCCCTCCTGCGGAGAGCGCGTTCCCCCGCCCCCACGCGGGAGGGACAGAAGGCTGCGTCTGCTCCCGCCTCAGACAAGGCAACCTCTGGGGCGGCTCCGGGACGGCCTGGAAAGACGCGGGCGGCGGCGAGGCGCGGAGACGGGCATTTGGTTTCCTACCTGGACGCGTGCGCGGCCCGCAGAGCTGAGGGCGGCCCGCGGCTCCCCGCGCCGGGGGAGACGCGCAGAGAGCGGAGCCAAGTCGGGGCGAGAGGGCCGGCGGAGAGTCGAGACCCCACCCCGCGGCTTTCCTTCTGGTTTTTGGCCACGCTGCCTGCGCTGTCCTAGCTCCCGGCCCGGCAGTGGGAACGCAGAGCCCTAACCGCTGGCCCCCCAGAGAAGTCCTCTCCCTCGAGTTCCCGATTTCCGAAGGACAAGGAAGGTGAGATTCCCGCAGGTGTCCGCCGGCCTTCAGGACGGTGTCCGCCGGTTGAGACTGCAGCACCCTTCTGAGAAGCGTCCGAGTTGGGTGTTTAGGAGGCGAAGCAAACAGAATGCAAAACAGAAAAAGAGACTCCGATGTATAGAACAGACTTGTGGACTCTGGGAGAAGGCGAGGGTGGGATGTTTCAAGAGAACAGCATCGAAACATGTATATTATCTAGTGTGAAACAGATCACCAGCCCAGGCTGGATGCATGAAACAAGTGCTCGGGCCTGGTACACTGGGAAGACCCAGAGGGATCGGGTGGAGAGGGAGGTGGGAGTGGGGATCGGGATGGGGAACACATGTAAATCCATGGCTGATTCATGTCAATGTATGACAAAACCCACTACAATATTGTAAAGTAATTAGCCTCCAACAAATAAAAATAAATGAAAAAAAAAATTATCCAAGAAAAAAAGTGAAGTATAAAAAAATAAATAAATAATAAAAAATAAAAAGTGAAGTAGATATAGAGATGCAAATAAAAAGAATTAGAAATGCATTGAATTGTTAATTATTAATAATTGTTAATATGTAAAGGGCTTCTCAGGTGGTTCAGTAATCCGCCTGCAATGCAGGAGACCCAGGAGACTTAGGTTTGATTCCTGGGTGGCGTACATCCCCAGGAAGAGAGCATGGCAGCCTGCTCCAGTATTCCCGCCTGGAGAATCCTACGGACAGAGAAGCCCGGTGAGCTACAATCCATAGGGTTGAAAAGAGTCCGACAACTGAAGTGACTGAGTGTGTATGTGATACCTGAAGGGAAAATGAGATTATGAAAAGCAACAAGAATGGAAGAGAAATTCTTTGGTATTTGAAACATAGTAAGCCATGTATTTGCCTATTACTTATAGAGTTATTATAAGGGGAAGAAGGCTTTCTGGCATTTTCTCTGTGAGGCACTATAACACACCGTGAGGGTCGGAGGGGCCCGTACCTGCAAAGCCTTCGTCCAAAGACCTGGCCCCAGAGAATCTCAGTCTCCTCCCCTCAGCCTGCAATCCACCTTCCTCTTTGGTGTCTTAGACTAAACGTGATGGTCCAAACGTCATTTTATGTTTAAGACTGAAAACTGTTAGAATGAATACTGCAAATGTCATTATGATCCTAACCGTCATCCCCTTTTGAAGGCTCAGTACACAACCGTTTTCTTCCTGGATGAACTTAGCATTTTTCAGTGTTTTCTGTAGATTTCTATTTATTTCATTCTGCCCAGGTTCCTTATGTGGTCTTGAAATGTGTTTTCTGCTTCCCATGAACACAGCCACGACTCAAAGCTTTCCTTATCTGTGTGGCTCTGACGTGTCTCTTCTCCATCCGTCTCCCCCGTGGAGCGTCTCCAGGGAGCCTCCCAGGAAAGCACGCGTGCGGTTCTGAAGGTCCAGGCGGGCCCAGAAGGGCTCAGCTTCTCCCCCGTCTCCGCGGCCTCGTGAGCGTCCCCTGCCCACTTTCCGGCTCACACCCGTCACACCTGTGGTTCATCTGCTGCAGGGCCTGCGATGCTCCGCGACAGCTCGCACCCAGCCTCCCTCCCCGCTACGGGCGTCTACGAGGGCCTGCTGTGTGGGGGCTATCCGGAGGCTGGAGGACAACGAAGATAAAATACACTCAGCCCTGGCTGGCCACACACCAAGGCCCAGGCCTTCCCCTGGCTTCCCGACTCCAGGTTGGCCAAGAACTATATTCTAAGCTTAGCATGAATACCACCCCTCTAATTCCTTTTTTCAAAAGTGACTGCCATGATGATCTTGGCTGTCAAGTCTGTACTTTAAGTTGGTTGATAGAAAAACAAATCCAAGCTACAATTCATTTCCTTTCACATTTTCTGCCTGTGATAACCTACCTCTCTGGGTCATAAACAGAGTAATCTTAGTTTTATGAGCAGAGAAAGTTGTTAACAGTAATTTTTAAAAGATGTTATTTTACAAAACAAAACCAGACTGGACTTGACTGGATCCCATGGGGGACTGTCACTGCCCTGAAAGTGCTGTCACAGTTCCACTGATCGCTGAATGGCTTAAATCAACTTTGTGAGTGAACTTCTCTGGCATAAAGATTCTGTGGGACAAAAATGGGACTAGACATTTATTCTTCTCTTCTGTTCTGCCTATAACTCTAAACTCCCTGAAAGGGCTACAGAATAGTTAAGGGACTTTAGTTGGAAATATCTGATTTATTGTGATTGTCCCCGCTGTCTGCTTACTTGTGCTTTTGAATAAAGTTAATCCTAACGTACAATCTGTTGGTGTGAAACCATTTTTCCTGCTGAATCTTTAAAGTCTATTCCCTCGGTTCCCCTGCTCAGCCTGAAGCTGAATCCTTACCCTCTGCCCGCCTTCTCAGCTCACATTCCTTTTAAACACACATCCACTCAACTCTTGCCCCTCAAGCCGCTTCTCACCAAACCATTCCTTAACAGTATTTCAGTCCAGCCAGAGCCAAATTCCAACGGAAGGAATATGACTCGAAGCCAGAACCTTGTCTTTTTATAGAACAGAGTAGCATCCAGTTTGCCTTGGACAGTAAGTAGCGCATCCCCAGTGTCATGTGCCGGAGAGCTTAGTAAGACAGTTTGGTGATGAAATACCTTGGGCAAGAAAGCCACAGGAAATTCCAAGAGAAGGATCGGGGCCAAATGCTGCAACAAATTTAATTTAGCCTGGCAAAACACAACATGTAATTGATAATAGCAGTGAACGCCAAAAAAAAAAAAGCACAAACGTTAATCCTTAGGCACTACGCTCGCGATATTCAATTATAGCATGGAAAAATACATGTAATAAAATATACAGAAGATTAACACTTAAAAAACGGTTAGCCTTCTCAACATCTGTTACACTTAATCTAATGTGCTTAGTAAGGCATTGACTAGAAGCCCTTGATCAGGTACTATCCACATTATAAACCCAACACCCTACATATTAGGCATTAACAAATACAGGTGGTCATTTTAATATTCACACAGACAAACTGCACAAGCCACTGCTTCTTTCGACCCCTATAAAAACGCTCCCTTGGTTTGGAATTATCACTTGTTAACCAGTGAATCAGTGAAGTTGCTCAGTCGTGTCCGCCTCTTTGCAATTCCATGGACTGTAGCCTACCAGGCTCCTCCATCCATGGAATTTTCCAGGCAACAGTACTGCAGTGGGTTGCCATTTCCTTCTCCAAGGGATCTTCCCAACCCAGGGATTGAACCAATGTCTCCCACATTGCAGGCAGATGCTTTACTGTCTGAGCTACCAGGCAAAGCACTGCTGATTACTAATCTTGAAGAAATTATAGAAAGCAAGTACCAAAAACTTTCAATGGGGAAAGAGGTAAATCCACAAATTCTATACAAGGGCTGTCCAATGGAAATATTATAGCTATAATAAAAAATGTTAAAAGAGCCAGATGAAATAAATGCTAACAGCATTTTAATTTAACTCAATATATCCAAAATATTACCATTTTATGCAACAAATATAAGCAATTATTGATAAAATATTTTTAATCCTTTTCTTCATGTGCCCAAATATGATTATATATTTTTGTTGAAATATAGGTCACATTCAATACTATGTTTGATCCCAGGATTGGGGAGATCCCCTGGAGAAGGAAATGGCAACCCACTCCAGTACTCTTGTCTGCAGAATCCCACAGTCAGAGGAGCCTGGTGGGCTACAGTCCACAGCATCACAGAGTCTGAGACAGCTAAGCACACACGCACACATGTCAAAACCATGAAATGAGCACACTCTCTATTAACCATCCATTCACATACAAAGTCATCGCAGCGTTACTGACCATATTCCTTGCTCTGTATGTTACACACCCTAAGTTATTTATATATGACTGGAGGTTTATGCCTCTTCATCCCCATCACTTAATTCTCCCATCCTCTCAACCCCACCCTTCTGGCAGTGACCCATTTGTTCTCTTTATCTATGAATCTGTTTTCACTGTGCTTTATTTTGCCTTTAGATTTCACATATAGGTGAGATCATTCAGTATTTGTCTTTCTCTGACATATTTCACTTAGCATAAAACCCTCTAGATCCACTTGTGGGGCCACCAATGACGAGATTTGTTTTTAGTGGCTGAGTAATACTCCGTTGTGTGTATATGGGTACACAGATACAGTATGTATGCATCACATCTCCTTTATCCATCCATCTGTTAATGGACATGGGCTGCTCCCATACCTCGGCTGTTGTAAACAGAACTTCCATGATCACTGGAAGGCACATATCTTTCCAAATTAGGGTTAGTGTAGCTTGAAATCAGGAAGTATGATGCCAACAGATTTGTTTTTCTCTCTCAAGATCATTTTGGCTGTTCTGAGTCTTTAGTGTTTCTATACAAAGTTTAGAATCATTTGTTCTAGTTCTATGAAAATGCATTTAGTATTTTGATCGGGATTTCACTAAATCTAGTTTGCCTTGGGTACTATGATCATTTTTACAATATTAACTCTTTTTATCAATGGCTAAGGTATACCTTTCCATCCATTTATGTCATCCTTAATCTCATTAATTAATGTCTTATATTGGTACTTTTCCAAGTACAAGTATTCTGGCTCCTGGGTTAGATTTACTCCTAGGTGTTTTATTCTTTTTGATGCAATTTTAAATGAAATCATTATCTAAATTTATTTTTCTGACAGTTTGTTGTTATTATAGAAATGAAACAAATTTATTAACTTTGTATCCTGCAACTTTACTGAATTCATTTGTTAGTTTTACATTTTACATCTTTAGGGTTTTTAATACATAGTATCATGTATTTCCTTTCATCACTCTGAATATAAAATGTCACTCCTTTCTACCTGCAAAATTCTGCTGAAAATTCACCTGATCAGTTATGGGAGTTCCCGTGTACATAACCATTGCTTGTCTCTGATGATTTTCACAGTCTCTCTGTAACTTTAACTTTCCACTTTAATTATAATGTATCTGGGTTGGAAGCTCACTGTGTTTGTCTTCTTGGGGACTGCCGTGTTTGCTGGATCTGGATGGTGGTTTGCTTTTCCAGGTTAGGGTAGTTTTCAGCTACTGTCTTCACATTGAGTCCTCTACCCCAGTATCTCCATTTTCTCCTACTGGCACCACTATATAGCCAATGTTAATATATTTGATGTTGCCCCAAAGATATCTTAAACTATCCTCATTAAAAAATTTTTTTCTGTTCTACTAAGGTGATCACAGATACTGAGTCTTCCAGCTTGCTGATCCATTCTCCTGTGTCATGAAATCTACTACTGGTCCCTTCTACTGCATTTTTTATTTCAGTTATTATCTTCTTCCACTTTGTCTGGCTCTTCTCTATATTTTCTGCCTCTTTGTTAAAGTTCTTACTGTGTTCATCCATTCTTCTTCTCTGAAGTTCAGTGAGCATCCTTATGATCATCACCTTGAACTCTTTATCAAGTAAATTGCTCGTCTCCACTCTCTTTAGTTCTTTTTCTGAAGTTTTGTTTTGTTCTTTCATTTGCAACGCATTATTCTGTCGCTTCATGATTGCCTTGCTTCTTGTATTTATTTCCATGTAGTTGTATCTTTGAGCTTCCCTGGTAGCCCAGCTGGTAAAGAACCCACCTGCAATGCAGGAGACCCTGTTTTGACTCCTGAGTCGGGAACATCCTCTGGAGAAGGGACAGGCTACCCACTCCAGTATTCTTGGGCTTCCCTGGAGGCTCAGACGGTAAAGAATCCGCCTGCAATGAGGGAGACCTGGGTTCGATCCCTGTGTTGGGAAGATCTCCTGGAGAAGGGAAAGGCTACCCACTCCAGTATTCTGGCCTGGAGAATTCCATGGACTGTATAGTCCATGGGGTCACAAAGAGTCGGGCACGACTGAGTGATTTTCACTCTCAGTGGGCATCTCGGGTTATGTCTCCTGACCTTGCAGAAGAGGCCGATGGAGGAGGCATCCCGTGGAGACACGGAGCACCCTCCATGCGCTCTGCTGCGGGCTCCTCTGCCGTGGTGGGCCAGCTGCCGTGAGACGACTGCAAGGCTCAGCTGCCCACCCCCTGGTTGGTGCCAGGTCCTGTTCCATTCAGGGGCTGCTTGCCCAGGGGTGGACGGGGCCAGGCCCCTCACAGCTGGCTGTGTGGTCCTGGCGGCCCCAGACTGGTGCTGACCTACGATAGACAGGTAAGCCCTGCATTAATAGGCTGGAGGAAAGACGCCTAAATGGCACTTGGTAACTCAAGTGTCCTCGTAACAGAATGAGCTCCCCAGAATAGACGCCACCAAAATTCTGTCCCAAGGGGGAGTCCGGCAGAGTCTGACCCAGGCAGCTTTCAGAGTACTCCTCTGAGCGGGGACTCAGAGAGTGTGAGGTATGCATGAGGCCTTTAGGAGCACAGTCTCTGTCTCCAGCGGTGCCTGCGTCCAAGCTCTGCGGGCCTGCGGAGCCAGCTGCTCTGGGGCCCGTCTTTCCAGTGCAGCACTCCCGGGCTCCCGGGCTCCACTCGCCCTGGAGACCCTCCCACGGTGGGTCTCTTGGGGGGGGAGGGAGGGGGTGGATCTTGACTGCACCACCTGCCCGCGCTTCCTCCCCATCTGTGTATGTTTCCTTCTTTATATCTTTAGTTGTGGAAAATCTTGTTTCCTATTCCTTGGGTCCTTCTCATCAGTAATTGGTTTCAAATAGTCTTAATGTTGGTGTGCCCATAGGAAGAGGTGAGCTCGAAGTCTCGCTCTGACATCTTGGTACCACCTCCAACGTGTATCTTATGTGTGTGCGTCTGTGTGTGTGTATGTGTATATGTGTGTGTGTTAGTCACTCAGTCATGTCCAATTCTTTGTGACCCCATGAACTATAGCCCGCCAGGCTCTTCTGTCCATGGAATTCTCCAGGCAAGAATACTGGAGTGGGTTGCCATTCCCTTCTCCAAGGGATCTTCCTGACCCAGGGATCAAACCTGTGTCTCCTACATTACCATCTAGCTACCAGGGAAGCCCATGTACCTTATGCAATATCTGAATTAGGACCAGTCACATTTTGAGTGGTCCATAGCCACATGTAGCTCTTGGCTAATATTGGGTTGTACAGGTACTGACCTATAAGCTACTAACCCTGGCACAGTTCTAGAATTAATTGTATCTTGGCAGAGCCTGAGGCAAAAGCTTATATTCTACTACTTCATTAAAGCTGAGATGTCAGGAAGTAGACTTAAGATAAAGAGGGAGTATGGCAGGGAAGGAAGGTCCCCGAGTTGGCCTATAAACAAGGACAACTCTTTGCTCCATCTCCTGCAGTCATCTTCTGAGACCCATAGGCTGTGTCTCAATAGAAGGAAGAATTCATCAGCTGGCTTGCATCTCACCTTGAGCCAAGTTTCCTTCACAGAACACTGACTCTCGCACACTTTCAAACTGCACATAGCCTGACACCAGGTCGGATTCTACCACATCTCACACCTTAGAGGCCACAAGGAAAGTCCAGAAAGGCAGTCACGCAGTGTTCAGCTGGGGCAGGAAGCAGGGCATGGTTGGGCGGTACCCACCAGAATGTAGTTGCCATAGCAGCTGGGAAAACAAATGGCGGAGGGCCCCAGGGATAGGAGTGGCAGAGAGGACGTGAGGTGGTGGATAAGGAATGTCTGAGGCAATCAAGAGAAGAATGCACTAAGAAGAGTGACTAAGACGTGCCACTGGTGCACCCAGACTGAGTCACGGCAAGCTAAATTCACAATACTCTTTGTTTAAAGCACCAGATGGGAAGATTACGCTATGACTTGCGTGAATCACTACCTCCCCATTGCCAGTCTAATCTTCCAATCTGAAGGAGCTTAATCCCTTTGTGCAAATCAAGCTTTGTTCTCCTTGAATTTCCATATGAAAAGATCTTAAAGGCCCTGAAACCAGTAACACCAAGACCAGAAAGCTTTGTCCTATTTCTCTTCTGATCCTTGGACCAAGTTCTGGTGACTGGGTTTCTGCTCTGTTACTTAGTTTTGTACATTTCCCCTCTATTTCCTTCCTCTTTCCCATGGAGCTTGAGACCAGTATCTGCCAGGATCCATCAGCCTGAGGTTGGCGTGTTCCTTCGATTCTTTGTATCACCACGTGTTGGCTTCCCCGGGCAGTGATCTACCCAGAAGCCAGATGACGCGTCTCACCGGGTTACCCAAGTAGAGACCTTCCCTGCTGTATCCTTGTCACCCTGGCCTCCACAGGCCGCCTTCCTCAGCAGTAACTGGACTTCCCGCAATATCAGCAGCGTAATCTGTGCCCCAACTCTACCCTCCCAAGTATTTCTTTTACTTTAAAGGGACAAATGTTCTCCCAAGTGCAAAGATCTGCTGTCTTTTTCTTTTGTTCCCTAGCCAGGGCCTTCTCCAGGGGCGTCTGCTCCTCGTTCTGTAATGTGCACACCCCTCCCTCTGGCCAGACCCCACCCAGTCCCAGGGTGCATGGCTCGGTGAGCAGAAGCACGTTTGTGCAAGTCCCAGCCTGTTCACCTTTGCTGCCTGGAAAACATTTCCTCCACACTCTTCCAAAGACTCTTCTCATCCAGTCTCTGCTTGAATGTTCTCCCTCAGAGAGTCTAATGCAGACCATTATTACATCTCAGTTCAATTCACTTCAGTTCAGTCGTTCAGTCATGTCTGACTCCTTGCGACCCCATGGACTTCAGCACATCAGGCCTCCCTGTCCATCACCAACTCCTGGAGTTTACTCAAACTTATGTCCATCGAGTCTGTGATGCCATCCAACCATCTCATCCTCTGTCGCCCCCTTCTCCTCCTGCCCCCAATCCCTCCCAGCATCAGGGTCTTTTCCAATGAGTCAGTTCTTTGCATCAGGTAGCCAAAGTATTGGAGCTTCAGCTTCAGCATCAGTCCTTCCAATGAGTATTCAGGGTTGATCTCCTTCAGAATTGACTGGTTTCATTTCCTTGCAGTGCAAGGGACTATCAGAGTCTTTTCCAACACCGTAGTTCAGAAGCATCAGTTCTTTGGTGCTCAGATTTCTTTATGGTCCAACTCTCACATCCATACATGACCACTGGAAAAACCATAGTTTTGACTAGATGAACATTTGTTGGCAAAGTAATGTCTCTGCTTTATAATATGCTGTCTGGGTTGGTCATAGCTTTTCTTCCAGGGAACAAGTGTCTTTTGATTTCATAGCTGCAGTCACCATCTGCAGTGATTTTGGAGCCCAAAAAATAAAGCCTGTGAGTGTTTTCATTGTTTCCCCATCTATTTGTCATGAAGTGATGGGACCAGATTCCATGATCTTAGTTTTCTGAATGTTGAGCTTTAAGCCAACTTTTTCACTCTCCTCTTTCACTTTCATTAAGAGGCTCTTTAGTTCTTCTTCACTTTCTGCCATAAGTGTGATGTCATCTGCATATCTGAGGTAATTGACATTTCTCCCAGCAATCTTGATTCCAGCTTGTGCTTCATCCAGCCCAGCATTTGTCATGATATTCTCTGCATATAAGTTAAGTAAGCACAGTGACAATATACCCTCGAAACATTTGTCATAATTTAAATATTATACACCCATTTGCTTATTTACTTATCTGCCTTATATTTCAGAGTGTAAGGTACATGAAAGCCAAAATAATCAGTTTATATCTAGTCCCCATCATAGTTTCAAAATCATTATTTTTTCAATGGATGAATGATCCGTGTATCTAGCAGCTAGGCTCTTTATATTAAAAATCAAGGAGATGACAGAGACTAGGGGTCAGGATCTCCCAGGGGTCAGGGAGGTAGCGTAATTTGTAAACCACTCATTGATAGCACTAAAAAGTATCAGCACTGGGGGAAAACTGCAAAAAAAAAAAAAAACCCCACAGCTCCTAAGACATTCAAGCTCAAATTTCAAACATCCTCTGCCTGCCCAGGATAACTCACCCTGGTCTCAGTCCGCTGCCTCTACCAGCACTCCTGGGCTTCCTTAACTCCTGCGGTTTGTGGGTCAGGATTTCAGGACCCATGGGTGCAGTGCCCTCCTCACTCTCAAAGCAGCCTCGCTGGCAAATTAATATGGACTTCTACCCCCAGGACTTTGCATCCGTGACTCCCTCCATCCCTCTCACATCTGCCTTCTCCACCTTCACTTCACAGAGGAAGGGGAGCCTTCTTCCAGGAGCCTTTGCTGACCACTCCTGCCCGCCCCGCTTCCTGTGTGTGTGCGGTGCCTGGCACCCCTGTGTACCTATTTCTCTCCCCGCCGGACTCCCCCTAAGAGACAGAGCTGGGACCATGCCCTGCTGTATCCATGGTGCTTGGCACATTGCTTGGCATAAAACCGCATTCAAAATATTTGGAATAAACAAAGGACGCCACCGTGGGGATTCCCAAATGGTTGACTCATACTCCTTTGGAAGCTGAAGAATGGATCCGATTATGGATGAAGGTCATGAGCGCCGAGACACAGGCTCCATCCTATGTGACGTCCTTTCTGGACGACTCTTCTGAAGACAAGCTTTGCTCTGACTCGCGAGGCCTGCGAAGGCAAGCAGAAGTCGGGGTGCTGGGAAACGGCCAAAGGAAGGGAGATAAGAGATTGTGGCTGCGGTGAGTGTGGGTTGAGGTCGTGGTTTCGTAAACCAGGTTTGAATAGTTTTGTGAGCGCTGGGATGCGTAGGACGTAGGACGGTGCAAGAGTGTGGGGGAGGAGGCGTGGTTCCAGGTCGGAATGCGCGTCTGTTTACTGGATTCGCTCCGGTGGTTTTACAAACCTAAGGCTGGAGCCCTTCCAGTGGTTTCACTTCTGTTTTGCCACAGAGCCTGTAAGCGCTATTTTTAAAGTAGCATTGTTGGCAGGATCCTATGAGTTAATCTGTGTGCGCCTTTCCCACCCAAGCTCTCGATTTATAACAGGGTTAGAACCCAACTCCCTCTGTTTCTCATCTTATGCATGTAAATCCAACTGATTCTTTCTCCCCCTTAAATAAATGGACTGGTATTTGCTTTTTTCTTGAATTTAATATCAGGATCGCTAAATGTCTGTTAAGGTTTAGGAGAATAGGGTTGATATAAATGGAGGCAAGAAACCCATATATTTTAGATGATGGCCAAAATCCTAACGCAGTCTCTTAAAAATATACCTAATGGAACCCTTCGGGATACTGGTCTTCGCTAACTTATGGTCTCATGATTGCCTCCCTCCAAGAATCATGTCCATTAGCAACTAGTAGTATCCCCATTGATGTTAGCTCTAAGAAATTATAAATTTTGGGTTGCTATGTGTGTGTAACATTTAATTCTCACAGCAACCTGCTGGGATAGGTGTTTGTAACAGACCACGGCGTTAGCCCATGTAACCCCTAGACTTGCTGTGAACATTCTCCAAAGAGTGGAGAGGGGCTGAGAACTGAGTTAATAGTAGATCATGCCCTCATGATGAAACCGCCACAAAAATCCTTGAAGTATGGGGTTCAGAGATCCTCCAGGGTGTTGAAAAGATCTACGTGCCAGAGGGGTGGGGCACGCCAGCCCCACAGGGTCAGGAGCTGCTTGGGACCCTTCCGGTCTTCCTGCATGCATCTCATCATCTGGCTATTCATCTGCATCCTTTATCATAGCCTTTACTATACACTAAACTGGTGAATATGTTTTCCTGAGTTCTTTGAGCGGTTCTACCATGTGATTCAGTCCAAGGGGGGGGGTCTTAGGACCTCTGACTTGTAGCCAAATCAGAAATTGAGAGTAACCTGGAGACTTACTACTAACTATTGACTTTTAAAATGAGGGCAGTATTATGGGGTTATCCCTTAATGTATGGGGCTGCACTAACTCAGATCAGTATCAGGATTTAATTAAATTGTAGGACATCCAGCTGATGTCACAGATGATTACTTGGTGCAGGGGGAAAAAACATGTCTGATGGCAGAAGAATACTATGCTTATATGTATAAGCAAAGGAAGACGCCCTAGAAAGTTTTCCCTATATGCCCCCCAATGATCTTCGCCTTCTAATATTGACATCCTTGTTTTAATCTTCTCCTCCTGCAGATGAGTTTAGATAGACTGTATATATTCGCTACCTAAATAATTAAATGTTACTTCAGGAGACCCACAGGTAGTAGATGTGCTCAGCGTCGGAGTCTCATCTCTTTTGCATTTAAAATGCCCAGGCACACCAGCCAGCTCCTTACTGCTCACATCCGTACGTCCCTATAGGCAACAGATGCTGGGAATGCATGCTTCTCCCAGCCCTCAAACCATGACAGATAAGAGCGGACAAGTACAAGAGTTTGCTCAAACCTGGGTGGGATCCCTTTGACATCCGTATTCTACCAAGTGGGTGCAGTCAGCCCCAAATGCATTGCCAGTAAAAAAAACGTCAGGTCAGTGGGTGCGGAGTGAAGTGTGAAACCAAGTGAAACAGAAATAGAGGAGACGAGATGAAGGAAGAGATAACTGGCCAGGAGGATGGCGACCATCTTCTTAATACCAGAGCCACGGGCTTCAGCTTGGGCACGCCTCCTAGTGCCATCAAGTCATCCGTTAGATGGCAACACACGGATTCGGGCTGAGCACGCCGGCATTTGGTCTGTAGCCACCATCATAGAATGTCTTATCACGCAGGTTACCCCCGTGGGCACCTGCACCCGGGAGCCCTGAGAGACGGGACAGGACACGGAGCTCTAAGTGGTATTCAGTCCATCTGAGTGGAATCATCTAAACTTCTTGTGAGAACCTGTCAAACTGAAGAAGGTCACCATGTTTTTTAAGAGATTTGAAGAACAGTGTCCAAATGCATAAGAATTCAGTCTCACTCTTGCTTTTTGTCTTGATTTGTGTCAGAGACCCCTGAGAAGTTAGTTCACTTCTCTGAGCCTTAATTTTCTTTCCTGTGAAATGCACACAATAATTCCTACTACATTTGGTTTAGTGGTAAGATAAAGTGTGCAAGCACCAAGTTTAGAGATAGAGAACAGCTTTCTTTTAAAAAATTTATTTATTTTTTAATGAAGTATATATTACGTTACAATATTGTGTTGGTTCCTGTTGTACAACAAAGTGACTTTAAAATTTTTAAAACTTGCAATGATAACAGTGATGGCACTTTTGCCTGTACACCAGATTACTCAAGAGAAAATGGTAACATCAATTCAAAGGCAATACCAGTGTATGCTATAGATTGAATGTTCACATGCTAAATCTTAACCCCCAATGTGAGTGCGTTTGGAGGGTGATTAGGTCGTGAGGGTGGGACTCTTAGAGAACTCCCTTCTTCTATCTGCCACATGAAGACACAGCAAAAAGACAGTTGTCTATGGGCTAGGAGGAGGGCTCTTCACCAGACGTCAGATCTGCAGGCAGCTTGATCTTTGGCATCTCAGCATCTGGCACTGTGAGAAATAAATGTTTGTTGTTTATAAGCCACTGGGTCTGTGGCATTCTGTTGTTACAGCCACCTGATAGGCCAAAAGAATATGCTTAAGATAAAAAACTCAACAATACCTGTCAATACTGAAATACTTGATCTACAAATGTTAAAATAACATTAATAATCTAATGTTGTTTTCAGATATATGCATACAAAAATTGTTATTCCTTCAAACCTGCTTTTTTGATAAAGTTTTCTTATTAAAGCTGTTATATGGAAAAGAAATATGCTATCAAAATGGTGAGAGTTTATCTAAATAAGTTACCATCATCAGGTAAAAATGAATTTTGGATCTTAAAAAGCAAGATGATAGAGAAAATGAAGGCATAGCTCTCCCAAATTGCGATTTTCAATACATAAAATATCATGTGTAAAACCACATTACCACACATAAAATTTATCATTATAAGAACTGATAGTTGGAAGCACCTATTTTAAGAGTTTGCATCTGGAAAACTTGGAGCTAGAGACAAAACTTAAATTCATGAAAGACTGCCAAACAAGATAAGCAAGCCTAATTGGCCAAAAACAAATAAACTTCAAACATGTGAGAAAAGAACAGAAACCCTGTATCATCTTGTAAGTATCCCAAGGTTCATAAAAATAGTTCAAAAGCCCTGATCATCTCTGATAGATAGACACAGATATTTAAAGTCACATTAAAACACACAACATAGACATCATGATGCACAAGATTGCCAATAGGTGACAAACACCTATGATTGAAAATATGTATTTTTTTGGCCAATTTCTGTTTCAGTCCATTCCCTGGAGCCTCTGGTGCAGGCCGACACACGGTAGACTTTAGAGAAGGCTTGGTCCCTTCTGTTTATCAGCATGGCGGCAGTGCTGTCAAAGGAAGGAAATGCCAACACACATTTCTGAGTCCCAAATCCTAGCGCACACCGTCACCAAATAGGGACTCTTGGTAAAAGCCCAGTTACGGGAAATCAAACACGAATGTCGCTGTAAAGCGCTTGGGGGCTGTTCATGGAAGAAGTGAGTGCCAAAGAGACAGAGGCAGGGACTGGACACTGGGCACCCGTCAGTGCACCGAACGGGGTAACGGCGCGATGGTCGAGGCGGTCCTCCCCAGAGGGCAAGGCCCACGAGGCCCAGGAGCGCTGCCTGGAACAAGCAGGCAAAGCGGGAGGGCTTGGGGCTAAACCTGTAAAAGATCCGAAGTAACTCTTAGCACCTTCTTTTCACTCAGCCAGAGACGAGCCCTTATGTGGGCAGAGAAGACTGGCCCCGGTCCCGTCTCTGACCTGTAGCGCAGGTGGAGCCCTGCGATGGAAAACGAGGACATGGGGACAGCATTTCTCCAGGAAAATATGTCCTTAGGAAGCTCAATTCCTTTCACACGGATTTTTGTATTCATCAGATTTTGGCTATTCATTTCTCCCAAAGATCTTTCTGAGAATGAAGTGCACTGAGCCATAAACACAAACACTCTGATTTTGATGGTCCCAGTATCCAAAACTGTACCTTACACCGTGCATTAAGCTGGTGGGAACCCACATTTAAAGGTGTAAGACAGATACAGATTTGTAAATGTAAGCTGCTCTCAGAAGGAATATGACCTTGGGAGGCATCCATCTTTGGCCAAGGACAAGTCCCGGAGAGGGACTGGCTGGCTGGTTGGAGGCAGCCAACCCTCCAGGCAACTGGGAGAGTGAACGTTGCAGTCCTGCAATGCCGGATCGTACCGCCTACCTCTTCTAAACATGCAGGGCAACTAGTGAGAAACTAGTCTAAGGTGGAAATGGCATCTAAATATCTCTTCTGGTTTTGGTTTAGTCGCTATGTCATGTCCGACCCTTGCAATCCCATGGACTGTAGCCTGCCAGGCTCCTCTGTCCCTGGGATTTTCCAGGCAAGAGTACTAGAGTGGGTTGCCATTTCTGTTACTATCACAGTAGAAAGACCCACCATCCCCTCCTCAATTCAAGATCCCTCTGAAGGCTCCTCCCAGCTGGAGTTCACACAGGATTAACCGAGGCCCTTGTTGTGTTGACTGTATTGCAAGTCAACTACTCTCCCTACACAAGCCTGTCTCCTTCACTCCTTCAATAGATATGGATTCTAAGAGCTCATCCCAATAAATGGACTGCATGCAAAAACAGAAAATAAGGGTGTAAGACACCAGTCACTATGCCTTGAGTGTCCTCTGATGCTCAACCCAGGCTCAGCCGGAGGAAATTTGCCAGCCTCACATCCTGATAACTGTATCCTCGGCTTGGATGCTACCATCAAACTTTCCGAAGCCATTAATCAAATTTCTTTTCACGTGGCTAGACGCAGTACTGCTTGGGGAGTTGCTGAGCTGCTCGGTCTCAGAAGCCCGTGAGTGGCTGTCCAATGTGTTGGTCCCGTGCCCACCTCCACCCATCGCCAGGGCGGAGAGCCGCCTGTTGTTAGGCAGCGGGTCAGGGGTTCTAACCCAGACGGCGGCCGCGCCGTCTTTACTGGAGAAAGCCCCTTGCCAACGGCAAGAAAGAAGATGCTGGGAATTTGTCTCAGTGTTTCTCTTGGCCAGAATGATTTTATTTGGAAAGCTGAGGTCTCGATGTAGAGAAGGTCTCCGCCTTCTTCAAGCATAAACAGTGACCTTATCCCAGAGACTTCACGCCACCAGGTTAGACCTTGTTGAAGAACCGCCAGGGTGTGCCCCGTTCAGACCTACCCCTTGGATGACTTGGACTGTGTTTTCCTAGTGAGTCCCCAGTTCCAGTAAAGTCAGCGGCATGATAACTGCAAAAGCCAGTCTGCCAAGGGGAGAGTTATATATTTGTTTTGGGTGGTGATGGGGAAAATTTTTAGTCAAAATATATGATTTGTCACCAAAGTTATTCATATGCTCTCAGGTTTGACTGCCTCGCATGAACAACTAATCAAGAATATAAAAACATGCTTAAAAAAAAAAAAGAATATATAAACATGGCCCAAGCTTTCGGGACCAGATCTGATTTGGAAACAGGGTGTTAGGCCAATTACCAGGCAGGGCTCCTGTTCTCCTTAATCAGCAGAAAGTGACTAGGGGCCAGACAAGAAGCCCAGGCAAGGCTCTGGGCCCTGCTGCAGCAGAGAGAGTGAGAGCAAACACCTGCCCCTGCTCACTCCCCGAGGAGGGGCGAGCTGCTTCCTTGTGTGGGCGAGGGGGTGTCCCCGGGGGCCCGCCCTGCCTCTGGGGGTGCTGAGTGCCGGGGGCATGCGCAGTGCCCTGCTCATGCTCCTGACTTCAGAAGCGGCAGTCGGGCTTTTTTGGCCTTTTTGTACCTTTCGTCCGTAATTTGCTCCAACTGCACATGCGCTGAGTTACTTTTAGGCCCTTAGAGCCTCTGTATTTTGTTGCTCAGGGAGACGTTTGTCCAGACGCAGGAACTGGAAGGGCCGGGCCTGTCCTCCACGCGAAACCGCCCCACCGCGCAGGGCCCCTCTCGGCGGCGCAGACCCTCGTAAGCCGCAGGGCCCTCCCTGAGCCCGTGAGACACTGAGGGAGCCGCACACGCTCTGAACTTCAGAATTCCTGGAGGTGAGGCCAGTTCCGCTTCGTTACTGAGTGCCTGGAATATAGCAGTCATTCTTCCCTGTGCTGGGGACACGGAAGCGAAAACGAAAAAGGAGACGGCGCTTGAGCCTTTGTGAAGCTGAGATTTTTCTACTCCTCGAGACTGGCTAGAGGCGTAGACAAGATAACAAAACATGTAATAGCATTTAGGAAGTACTTAACGTCAGGTCCTCCAGCTTGCCCCTTCCTTCACTCCATTTGTTTCACAAATAAGTGCTGCAGAGAGAGGAAGAGAAAATGGAGCGTGTCATTTCTGAACTACGTCTCGAAATCAAAAAACCAACCTGACCTAGGCTAATGTTTTTTTCAAACTTCAGATTCTGACATAGAAGTGAGTTGTAAAATCAGTTCAGCTGGTTAAGTCCAGCGTTTTCATAAGTTGAAAAGTGAAATGGATGGACAACCTGGCGGTCCAGGGGTTAAGACCCCGCCTTCCAACACAGAGGGTGAGGGTTCAACACCTGGTCTGGGAACTCACCCCACATGCCTCACGGCCAAAATCCCACACCATAAAGCAGAAGCAGTATTACAACAAACTCAATAAAGACTTTCTTTCTATCCTTTAAAATAGAAAGCCGTTCTGTGAAACATCTCGAAAGGCATCCCCTATAGTCCCATAGACTTTATTTACTTCCCAGAATGTGTAACCCAAAAGAATAGGTGGAAAGGGGTGTCTCCTTCTCAACACATTTTCCAAAATTAGTACCTTCTCAATCTAGAAATTAGATTAACACATTTACATGATGGTGTTTCAAACTATCTGAAAACAGAGAAAGACAAATCATAAAAGACTCTATCATAAAAAATGATACAAATGAACTTCTTTACAAGACAGAAACAGACTCACAGACATAGAGAACAAGCTTATGGTTACCAGAGGGGAAGTCGGGGAGGGATAAACCAGGAGTGTGGATTATCATACACACACTACTGTGTATAATCTGGATAACCAACAAGGACCTGCTGCATAGCACAGGGAACTCCACTCAGTATTTTGTTATAACCCATATGGGAAAAAAATCTGAAAAAGTACACACACACACACACACATATACATATGTGACTGAATCACTTTACTGTATACCTACAACTAATACATTGTAAACCAACTCTATCTATTTCAATCTTAAAAAATAAAAATAAAGAATAAAAAACTGTCATGAAAAAATTAAATTGAGATATGAAAGCAAGACTGCATGGCAGGAAAAGAAAGTAGACGAGCGCCACCTTCCTCCCCTCCAAGCACGGGGACAGGTCTTGTCCCAGGCGTGCCGCTGTGCCCCAGCCCCAGAGGTACTTCCTCGGATGCTTGAGCCTTGATGTGTCTCTAACCCAGCCTAGAATCATCCACCCCAGGTACAACATGAGGGCTCTAATCTACGACCGCATTGTTTCCATAAGCCTTATTCTCCCAGCACATGTTCATCTTGTAGATCATCCACTGCTGGGAACCGACTTTTGTCAGTTTAGTCGTCAACAACTAGTAGGGGTTTTGCTGCAAATATCAATTGCCCTATTTCACTTAGCATGATGATCCTAGGTCTATCCATGTTGCTGTAATTGGGAATATTTCATTCTTTGTTACAGATGATACTATTTCATCGTGTGTGTGTGTGTGTGTGTGTGTGTCTGTGTGTCTGTGTGTGTGTGTATATATATATATATATATACACACACATACATCTTTATGCATTCAAGGCAATGAACTATATTCCCTATATTGTAATAACCTATAATAAAAAAATCTGAAAAACATACATATATATAAAACTACCATTTTGCTGTACACTTGAAACTAACATAACACTGTACATTAACTATACTTCATGTTTTGAAAATATGTATATCAATTGCCTTTAGACAGCAGATGTTCTTAATCATTTTTATGTCTTCTCAGAATGACATTTTTAAATGCATAAAGTAAAAGGCATAGGGATTAAAAAGAAAGCAAAATATATTGAAATACAGTTGCTGAAAATTTTTTAAATATTTGTGATATAAAAATACAAAGAGTCCCTACTAATAAATTAAAACTGAACCTACTAGTGGTTCTACTACTGCTGTAATTTCAAAGTAATAATGAGATTAAATAACATGTTGAGATATCTACAACATCAGCAATGTCATGAAAACACATGCGACTTCTGTTCATGACAAAGGGAAGTTAGCAATACCAGGGTGTGTTGCCTACCCTCATACCTGGAGGAAATTCTATATTTCAGTTAGAGTTAGTGAAGATGAAGATGGACTTGCCTTCACATCCAAGGCCATGGACTCTGAATTCTACCTGCACAGAACGCCCAGAGACTGCAGGGGAAGAGTCCCTAATTAGAGACAGGAGCCAGCTCTAGGTTGTCTTAAAATCTCCCTACAAGGTAACAAGGAAAGCAAGTGTCTGACAGAACCCTACCGTTTTAATTAGCAGGCTGTCCCAAGACACGCATGTACCCTGTCTTTAAACTGGATGAAATCCCAGCTCTCGGTCTTTATAGAGGTCTAACAGCACCTTACAGTAAGGTCTTTCCCAGGCCAGTATGCCACAATTCAAACACCCGGACTCCTGTAATTCTCAGACAGAGCTAGGCAAGCAGCAACTTTCCAGTTACTGGCTGGAGGAAGGACAGCCTCGGAACCGCACTCAGGCGTTGTTCCAGGCTGCTAACAGCTGTGACCATGCAGTGTTGCATCGCCCAGCGCAGAGGGCCTCCCCGGGGGCCCAGCGGTGAGGAAGCTGCCTGCCGGTGCAGCAGACACGGGTTCCAGCTGGGAAGACCCCACGGGCTGGGGAGTAGCTAAGCCCCCGAGCCACAGCCACAAGCCTGCTCTGCGGAGCCCAAGCGCCGCCGCCCCGAGCCCGCGGGGCACAGGTCCGGAGGGGCCCAGAGGAAGCCTGGGCTCTGCCCAGAGAGCCCGCGCGGGAACGCCCTGCCCCGCCGCTGAGAGCAGCCCCGGCTGGCCACGACCAACGAAAACCCCAGGCGGCAAGGAAGACCCAGCATGCCAAAAGGGAAATACATAATACACTTCTTAAAAAATTAAAATTAGCCCGAGGCAGAGAGCCTGTTGGCATCCCGAAGGTTACGGACTGCGGGCTCTCTCATCCTTATCCCTTGTTCCAAGATGCAACGCTTACATATTCAACATCACATACAGCCCAATCACCCAAGGAGAAAGGATGCTGACTAAAAACCACCAGCGTAAGCGCACCAAACGTGTCCTAGCTGAATTTCAGCCTCGCCCTATCCGTGCAAGAGTGGGGGCTGTCTTCTAGACAGTTCCTCTATCTTGACCACTAATTTCAGCAAAAAAAAGTCTACTTCCAGCCCGCCCTGTACTCATTAACAAAGCCTATGGTATCCAATCAGAAATCAGCGCTAGTGAACCGCTCAGAGCAGCTATCTCGGGAAGGTAGCCCCGTGATTACATGCTGACCAGCCGTCCCGGCGGCTGTCATGCAGCACCCGCCGGCGTCTGGGCCCCGGTGAGCACAGACGCAGACACATCACATGGGTTATACCGCAGAACGTTTCCAAAGAGCCCAGGCCCAATCCTGAACTATCACTGCTTTGGTGAGGACAACCTGTTAGGTTATTGAGCCACAACACTGTTTTGGAAACAAGGAAGCTCTCGTGTCTGTCACTGAAAGGATTTGGTTAACTTTGTCTTTGAATTGGGGTGCCGCAGTTACCCTCCATTAAATGCCATTTTGCAAGCTTTGGGAAATCCCCAAAGTTTAAAGTTTCAGGAGACACGTCCTGTCACCCCCTTAATGAAGTGTGGAGGGATCCAATTCAACAGCCCCGTCCGGAGGAACTGAAAAGGATCAGTGATCAGCCCGTGGAAGAATCACGAGGAAGACAGAGCCACAGAAGGTGGCAACGTGGTTGGTCTCGGAAAGTGACACGTTGGAGGTGCGTGCAAGAGAAGACGTTGTTACAGCACAATTGAAGAAGCAGGGAAACAGTGAGTGGGACTGGTGAGGGAGACTTTGGGGCTAGAGAGAAGGGAGATCATAAGCTTCCTCCTCGAATGTCAAAGCAATCTCAAGAGCCCAGACAGCAGTGCCACATTCACCAGGCGCAGCCTATAAAAACCACCCAAGTTAGGGTCGCTGAAGGAAATGAGGAGGTGAAGTACCCAGCTGGCCCAGGAGTCAAAATCAGCCCAAACAGCTCTGTGTGAAAGCTGTCAAGAGAAAATGGCAACTATAAAAAGAGGCAACCTAACTCTGAAAAATAATTTTAAGTAAAGAATGATGTTTCTAACGAAAGGTACACCGAATCACAACCAAAACAAAGCCAATTAGAATGCCAAGGGTGCAACAAATGGTCCTGCTTATAGTAGAAGATACATTTTTTAAAAATTCTGGGACTAAGCTAAGGCCACACTTCCTTCACAGGTTCTGTGCCAGTTCTGACCCGCTCATTGTGGATGAAAATGATAAAGGTGGTCCAGATATGGCCACGCAAAGTACTCATGCCTCTCTCCACACCAGCTCTGGGTTCTTGAAGAATGGCATAGAGCAAAAGCGGGGGGAAATATGAGTACCAATGAATAGTGGGCTTATGTTCTCCACTTCTTCTCACTTTCTGTACTGCTCGAAATGTGTATGATAACCAAACATCATAAAATATTTCAGGGGCTTCCCTGGAGGCTCCATGGCAAAAAATGTTCCTGCCCAATGCAGGAGACACAGGTTCGATCTCTGATCCAGGAGGATCCCACATGCCGCGGAGCAACGAAGCCCAGGAAGGTTCAACCACTGAGACTGTGCTCTAGAGCCTGGGAGCTGCAGCTGCTGAGCCCGCGTGTCCGAGAGCCCGTTCTCTGCAACAAGAGCAGCTGCGGCGTGAGAGCCCGCTCACCACAACCAGAGTGTCCCCCCTTTGCAGCCAGAGAGTCCACGCTCAGCAGCAAAGACCCCGCACAGCCCAGAAGGGGCAAAAGCGACTCCCAGAGTGCCAGTTTGTGATAGGGAAATATATATATATTTATATATAATTTATATATGTGTGTGTGAATTCCTTTTTAAAGTAAGTTGTCCCCACTTCCTTTGATAACTCCAGACGGCATGGATTTTGGTATGTTTATCTGGGCTTCCTGGGTGATACTAGTGGCAGAAAACCCACCTGCCAACTCAGGAGACATAAGAGATGCGAGATCTATCCTAGGGTTGGGCAGATCCCCTGGAGAAGGGAATAGCAACCCACTTCGGTATTCTGGCCTGGAGAATGCCATGGACAGAGGAGCCTGACGGGCTACAGTCCATGGGGTTGCAAAGACACGACTAAAGTGACTTAGCATGCATGCAGGGATACACTTGTTCACTGGTACACCCCTAACACCCAGGATAGGGCCAAGAACACTGTCAGTATCTAAAACACATAGTTTGCAAAAAATGAATCATTTCTCGTATCCTCAACATTTTGCCTAGTATCTAATGCTCCTCTTAAAATGCGACAATCTCAACTAAATAAAATGCTTAAGACAAAACCAAAATACTTCTCATATTCTCTTCATGGTGCAGTTTCCTGAGACTATTATGTCCATTACTAGGACTATATTTATACAACCATGGCCTGAGATTGCACTTGATACTTTTTGGTTTTGTTTTTATAAGGGAAACACTGTTGGCTCATATTGATCTTGTAATCAACTCAAACCCTCAAGTCTTTTCCACATAATTTGCTGTCAGACCTGATTACCGTCCTTCTGCACTTGTACAATTGATTTTTTTTACCCCCAAATGCTAGACTTTAAACAATCCTTGTTAAGTTTTACCTTATTTGTTTTGGTCTATTATCGGAGTCCCCTGAGATGCTCTTGAATGCCTGATTCTGCAATCTTGTATATTACCCATCTCTCCACACATGTCTTTGATAATGTTATCAACTTCTAAGTCTCCAGAAAGTGAAAGTGTTAGTTGCTCAGTTGTGTCCGACTCTTTGCAACCCCGTGGACTATAGCCTGTGAGGCTCCTCCATCCTTGGGATTCTCCAGGCAAGAATACTGGAGTGGGCTGCCACTTCCTTCCACAGGGGATCTTCCCCATCCGGGGATGGAATCCCGGTGTCCCGCGCTACAGGGAGACTCTACCATCTGAGCCACCAGGTAAGCCCTAAGTCTCCAGAGCTGAGGATAAAGCTATTAAATGGAGAAGAACAACAGAAAGATTTTGTTGAGCACCATTAGCAAACTCATCCAGGCAGCAACGCTTCTGGGACAGGTATCACTGGATGTTAGATTTGAAAGAACTCCTATCAGTCATCTAGTATACATCAGTATATTGTTATAATATACTATTAGTACATTATATTAATGTATTACTTATATAATAAAAATGCATGTTAATACAAATGAAAAAAGATTAAGTCATCCCATATGAAAACTCTGTCAGTATCCTGGAGTAATTTCCTTGAACGTATGACAATTCCCTTTTAAATACCGAGGTGCCCTCTTATCGCCCATCATCTGCCCCAGGCATCGCTCCTCTCCTAACTACAGTTGACAGCTACTCTAACGAGGGGAGCCAGAAGCACGCGTGGCGTTGAGCCGTCCTGCCCCTCTGTTTTCGATGCTGTTGCACCGTATGGCCTGCAGCTGCCCTCGTCCTCCTTCGCCTGGTAGCTACACAGCTGAGTGCTGTCCTCTGCGTTTTGTAAGGTCCAGCTGTCATCACTGGAGCGCGGGGCCCATGCTGGACCCTGCGAACGCATACATGGTGGAAAAGAGAGGACACCAGTTCTGTGGCAGGAGACGTGGTCCAGCAAGAGGGCTGGCCCTTGAAGAGGCGTAACCAGTGATCCAGCATTGAATGTCCGAAGAGTGCTGATTGCAGCTGCTGTCAGTATTCAAGAGTTTGTAGGCCCGGAGGTTTTGCTGAGTGGGTACATGCTCAAAGCCAGATGAAGCATCACCTTCACCCCCGATGATGGAAATGGGTAAGCCAGATGAAGCATCACCTTCACCCCCGATGATGGAAATGGGTGAGCCAGATGAAGCATCACCTTCACCCCCGATGATGGAAATGGGTGAGCCAGATGAAGCATCACCTTCACCCCCGATGATGGAAATAGGTGAGCCAGATGAAGCATCACCTTCACCCCCGATGATGGAAATAGGTGAGCCAGATGAAGCATCACCTTCACCCCCGATGATGGAAATGGGTAAGCCAGATGAAGCATCACCTTCACCCCCAATGATGGAAATGGGTAAGCCAGATGATCATCTTCATCCCCGATGATGGAAATAGGTGACCAAGATGGGCAGTGTGTGTGAGGGCTGAGGGGTCAAGGGCCCAGGGAGGAGACCTCAAATGATGGTGAGACCAGGCTAAGTAGAGGTGCAGTCTTAGTCCCAGATTCACTCTTGGCCCTTGAGAAAAGGTGATGAGATCATAGTTCGGCACGATCCTTTTCAGCAGATCCCTACTATGCATATGGAATTTAGGAGATATATCTGGTCCTCCAAAAGAAGACAGTCCCCTAAGGCGAGAACGAAGATACGGTCCAAGAGAAAGTAGAAATGTCACATTCAAAAGCCAAGACTCGGCCTCTCCTGAGGACCGGATCTGTAGGGCAGAACTGGCAGCTGAAAGAGCCCCGGGACCAAAGCACATTAGCTAATAAGGCCTCTCTAAAAAGCCGAAGGGCGGTCACAGGTCCCTGCCGCCGTGTTCTGTCTCTCCACTTGCACGCACTCTGAGCTGACACTCTCACATGCTCTCACACCCTCTTTCAGCGTCCAGCACACTCACACTCCCAACCAGTTCCCCCGAGTAACCCAGTCATTTCCTCTGCTGCTTCCTCTGCCCTCTGGAAAAGGAGGGATCAGCAGAGTCAAGACTGTGTGTGAAACCAGGTTGCAGAAAAAAGATTCCAGGAGCTATCTGAATAAGTAGCATCTCATTTTAGTCCTGTCTCTTATAGCTTTTCCACTTTTGAAATCTTTTTTATGGAGACCTTACTAAATCCTCCTCTCTCATGCCATTATTCCAAGAGTGGAGAGCCTCACCAGATGGGTCCTAGCAAAGTGGGAAAAGATGGGCATTAATATAAAAATAAAATTTACGATATAAATTCAAGGTTTGACCAACCATCTGGGCTTGCTTGGGACTTGAAGGGACTTTTACGATGTGGTCCCGGGGCCCAGACTGGGAAAGTCCCAGGCAAACCAAGCTGATCACCCTAAAACAGTAAACAAACATTGCACCCACCCTGAAAACCACCAAAATTTTCCTCTAAGTTTCTACTTCCTGGATTCCAAATAGAATTGTATTCCTTTATAATTTTTCCTTAAAACCACTGCTGCCCATAGCATGCTGGTCTGACTAAATCTGACCTCCTTCTTAATCTCTGTGAGAGGTTGATAATTAGAACAGATCCACCCTTCACATTTTCACCCAATCCATCCACTTCTCTTGATCTCTACAAACTCCATCCTGGTTGAAGGCATGGTCACTAAACACAAGCCTGGACAAAGACACTCACCTTCTTCCCAAGGGTTCTCAGGCTGAAGGAGAAGTTGTTTTTCATTTTTTCTTTTTCTTTTGTTCTGTTTTGTGCTGAATTTCCAATCCCTTATGAACCCACACTTCTGTAACGTTCAATAAAAACGGATTACTAGGAAAATGATCATGCACTTGAGTCTTGAAACAATGTCAAATTTTCTCTAAGAGTTCCTACACACTTTCTGTCCATTTCTATATCGACTTTGTCGTGCATGGGGAACAGTCAGACTTGCTGCCAAGGACCACACTTTGAGAAATAACATTCTAACAGATAGCATCGCTTTCACATTTTTCTCCTTTCTTCCTACCAAAAAAAATCTAAAATGATCTTTCAAAATGTAAATTAGACTGTGTCAGCCTACAGCTCACAAAACCATAGGAGGAGGGGGAGCGTTGTGGACACAGACTTTCAAGACAGACCACTTGGATTTAAATCTCTGCTCACCACTTTGTAGAGTTAGTGACCCTGGGCAAGTCACCTCATTTCTACATGTCCCATTTTCCTCATCTAAAAACTGCATCTACTTCATAGGGTTGATGTGAGGATTAAATGTGTTAATTTTTGTAAAATGCTTAGACAATGTCTAAGGCATAGCAAGTACGTATGCCACTTTTACTATTATTACTTATCATTAGCATGACCTATGGCATCCTGCCTTTATAAATGTCATGCATCATTGTTGTTATTGCTGTTTTTGTTATTTACATGACCTACAAGTCCCTCCCTATCTCTCAAGCCTCATCTGAACAACTAAGGCATCAAGCCAGCCTCTTACCACAAGATAAAAGAACAATATATTCAGGATTTTATGCAGATCATTTGTGGAGAACTAGATCATTTTTTATCTAATATCCACTCCTTTCTCTCCACTTATGGGAGAACTATATACCCACCCCCTTGACTTTGCAAGGGACCCTGAGACTCGCTTTGGCCAGTGGGGTGTTAGCAAGCATGATGTTCGCAGAGACTGGTGCGGCTGGGCTGTGCCCTTGAGCTTCTACGGTCACCATGAAATGAACAAGCTCTGGGCAGCCCACTGGCCCCAGGAGATTGAGAGCCACCTGGTCAGAGGGGAATGGAGCCTGCAGCCTGGGGCCAAGGCCACGCCAGCCAACCGGAGCTCAGCAGGACTGCCCCGGCCAGAGAGCCATTGAACATGTTCTGTTTGTTACACAGCTCGAGCTAACTGCTCACACTATCTCACCTCTTTTCTTTTCCCTTTGTTTAAAATCTGCTTCTTGGGATTTTGTCCCATTTCGCTGCCAGGAAACCCCCTCCTATATGCTATAATGCATCTGGAGAAGTAGCTCCTAGTCCATTCCATGATCTCAGAATTTGGGCAAGCTCTTGATGTTTTACTTTGGGCACTCAAAATCTCCAGTTTTTATTAAGTGTCTTTAAAAATGTATATATAATACATACATGTGTATAATGTTATATACAGATAGAGATATAGCATTTTCTTAACAGATGCTACGTAAAATAAATCCAGAAGTACCAAAGTTGTCTCTTTGTTCCCCACCATCTTAGAATAAGCTCAGGTTTATACATAGAAGCTGAATGCAAACTGAGTGAAGAATACAAGAAACAGAAGCACAGTAGTCTTCCTGCCAGGGGAATAGATGAGCACAAAGGAAAAATTGAAGTTGCTATCAGTTCTGTTCCATTCCTCCTAGATAATATAAAACAGAAGCTAAATAACTCTAAAGCCCTTAGATCAAGTCTAAAATTAATTTTAACACATGCCAGTGATATTCTAAAGGCACCCACCAATTTGTAACCAGGTTAATGTTTGGCGTGGTACTCAAACGTTTCCTTTATATCTTTCTCTTAGAAGCTGTAAATAAACATGGACTCCGGACTCCGGATGGTTTTCCAGAGCTGTGGCACACTTCGGTCTTTTTCCTGCAAAGACAGAGGGAAACGGTTACAGCAACGGCTCCTGAGACCCCTGGCGAATGCAGACGCGGGCATGGATCACGGCACAGCATCGTTCATCAGCCAGCTCCCAGCTCCTGTGAGTGATCCTGGACGTCAGCTTGCTGCTGCGACAGAGTCTGCTCGCTCCAAAAGCTCAGGCGCTCCCTGCAGATGTTACTCCCACATGTCAAATGCAGGACCATTTGCGAAAACATTTTGAAATTTGAACTGAGAAGGGAGCTAATGGGTCAATAGGGACCGTGTTACTCTTCTTCAAACAAGAAGTAGCCTGATACTTTGTCCCTTGCTTATTACCTTGTGAAAATCATGGCATCTTAGCATGAACTTGCCTTTTGAATGTGTCTGGGGTGGGTGGCGGGGGGTGCGTGAAGGGAAAGCTGGGCTGTTAAAGTTAATACCCGTCCCTTTATAATTCACTGACTGATGTGAAAAGAGTGTTGTAATGGTTTTTTAATGTCAATTTTAAAGGTTTTTCTCAGTTTGGCTTTTGGCCATGCTAAAAGGTTCATGCAATTTATGTTTCTTAGCAAAATACATAAAAGGTCCTACTTGTAGGTCACCACAGGGCTAGTGGGTGACAGCCATATTGCAACTTACCCAACCACCTACTGGAGAAGGCACTGGCACCCCACTCCAGGACTCTTGCCTGGAAAATCCCATGGACGGAGGAGCCTGGTAGGCTGCAGTCCATGGGGTTGCTAGGAGTCGGACACGACTGAGCGACTTCACTTCCACTTTTCACTTTCATGCATTGGAGAAGGAAATGGCAACCCACTCCAGTGTTCTTCCCTGGAGACTCCCAGGGCTGGGGGAGCCTGGTGGGCTGCTGTCTGTGGGGTCACACAGAGTCAAATATGACTGAAGCGACTTAGCAGCAGCAGCAGCAACCATCTACAGCTAAAAGCCAGAACTCGGTTCACCTGCCCTCGGAAAGAGCAGGTGAGTTCTGCCCCTCCAGCCTGCATAGAGCAGGGGGGGAGGGAGCGGGCTTCAGACGTTCACTGGTGAACGGACGGACGTTGCTTCAGTGGACGGACGTTGCATCTGGAAGCAGCTGGTGACACCACATGAAAGGTTTCCAACAAAAGTGCTCTGAGGGTCAAAACACCACAGCTCTTTTAGTCCGGCAAACAATCTGATTGATCCTGCAGATCAGCTCCGACAGCAAGCACTTTCCTTAAGTTTTTGTTTGTTTGGAGAGGGTAAAACAAATTTAGGCCAGCAAACATAGAAAGAAGGTATTTAGCATTAAAAGCTAGTGGAATTGACTATTATCCTAAGATTAAAGCCAGGCAATGATATTAAGTAAATTGCAGAGGTTCTCTGTTCTCAATTACCTTTCTTTTTTAACTGAAATATCGACTATTCACACTGTGTTCGGTCCAGGTGCACAACACAGTGACTGGCTGTTTCTAAACATTCCAAGCGATCACCGCAATAAGTCTAGTTCCCGACTCTCACCGCACAAAGCTGTTACGATATTACTGACTCCATTCCCCACGATGTACGTCTCACCCTGTGGTTCATTCTCTTTTTAGCAGCAAGTGAGTTGCTCTTAACCCCCCTCACCCTTTTCACTCCTCAACCACCTGCCCTGCCCTTCTACAGCCCACTGTTTCTTCTCTGTAACGACTAGTCTGTTTCGCTTTTGTTACTTTTGTTCATTTGCTTGTTTTTTGTATTCCAAATATAAGTGAAATCATGTAGTATTTGGCTTTCTCTGTTTCATTCATTTTACTCAGCATAATGCCCTCTAGGTCCATCCACGGCGTCTCAAATGGCAGGATTCCCTTCTTTTCCAGGGCTCAGTAACACCCCATGTTTCCTTCATCTGATCAACCACGTAATGAAAGGCTTCCGTGTTGGCTTCTCCATTGATTGTTGTAATACGATGCACTGAACATCAGCGTACACACAAGTATTCAAATAGTGCTTTTGTTTTCTTCCAATAATACCTAGAAGTGAAATGGATGGGTCATATGGTGGCTCTGTTTTTAATTTTTTGATGAAACTCCACATTGTTTTCCACAGTAGTTTCACCAATTTACAATTCCACCAACATTATCTCTGTATTCTCATCAACACCTATTTGTTGTCTTTTTTATGACAGCCGTTCTGACAGATATATATTCTTGCCTCTTTTATCATAGATTAAGCGACCATATAATTGAGGGTTTATTTCTGGGCTCTCTGTTGCCTTGATCTATGTGTCTGCTTTTGCGCCAGCCTCAACTCTTTTGATGATAATAGCCTTGCAGTATAGTTTGAAATCAGGCACCATGATGCCTCCAGCTTTGTTCTTTCTTCTCAAAATTGTTCTGGCTATTTGGGGTCTTTGTGTTTCCATACAAATTTCAGAATTATCTTTTTCTAGTTCTATAAAAGTACCATTGGTATTTTGATAGGGATTGCATTGAATCTGTAGATGACTTTAGGCAGTATGGTCCCTTTTTCTCCCAAACTCAAGAGCATCTTTGTGATCATCATCTTGAACTCTTTTTTGGGGGGGTAGACTGCTAATCTCCACTTCACTTAATTCTTCTCCAGGGGTTTTAACTTGTTCCTTCACTTGGAAAATAGTCCTCAGTCCCCTGATTTTCCTGGTTCTGTTTCTGTCTCTATCAGGTGGTTCGGTTACATTTCCTGCTCTTGCGGAAGTGGCCTTCTTCAGGAAACATCCTCTGGGGCCCGAAAGCACATCCCTCTCATCCCAGGGCTCTGAGCTCTCGGGCCGCCCTGCGTGCTCGCTGCAGGCCCGTCTGTCGCCGTGGCCATCTACAGTGGCCCAGTTTGCTGCCATGCCTTCCCCTTGCAGAAGCCACTGGCCATTGGTAGGTGGGGCTGGGGCCCAGGGAGCTGGCTGCAGGAGACGGGGGACCCGGGGCTGGGGTTGGCCTGCTGGAGGACTAGGGCTGGGTCCTGGGCCTCTGGTGGGAAAGCCCTCGTGGTGACAGGCTAGGAGGGGAACTCCAAAATGACACTTGCTACACCAGTGTGCTTGTGGCTGGACAAGCTCCCAAGAATGGCTGCCATCAGCATCTACGTCCCAAGGGGAGACCCAGTCACCTCCTGCCTCTCTGGTAAGCGCTCCGAGATCAGCAGGCGGGTCTGACCTTTCAGCAGACAGATCCTTTCAATTCAGGCCTTGCACCGGGACTCAGAGTTTGCAAGGTTTTACGGAAGACCTTTGCGAAAGAAGATTCTGTTTCCTACAGTCCTCCAACTCTCCTGTGTGCAAGCTCCACTGGCCGTCAGAGCCAGAGGTTCTGGGGGCTTGTCTTCCCAGGGCAGGACCCCCCAGGCTACAAAGCCCTGTGTGGGGCTCGGACGGCTCACTCCTGGAGGAGACGCTCTGCAGTTGTCAGGATCCTCCCATTGTCAGGATCCTCACTTACCCGGAGGTGGGAGTCTCGGCTGTGCCACAGCCCACGCCTCTCACCTGTCTGGTGTGATTGCTTCCTTGTATCTCTAGGTGCGGAAGACCTTTCTGGCAAGACTTCCAGTTTTTCTCACCAATAGTTTCTCTGTAAATGCTTGTAATTTGGGGGCCTGTGAGAGGCAAGGCCTTCATACTCTGTCATCTTGGCCACACAGCTCCCCCTGGAGCTTGGATGCCCGGATTAGTTGACAAAGAAGGACGTGAGCACAACAGTTTACAAAATCTCTGCATCTAACTCTTCCAGAAAACATAGAAAATCATATATCGTCTATCATGCCTCCTCGAAACATAATTTAGAGACGAGCAAGGAAATTATGGGAGACATGTAGCTAGTAATGCAATTTACATATTTTCAAGGACAAATTCTGTCAGTAAAAAAAAAAAAGGTTTACAGTGGAAGTCCCCTCTTCACAATAAAACACATAAGGTTGTACTGGCTGATTTGTGGGGAGTTTGGGAATGACAGGTACACACCACTGTATTTAAAATCGATAACCAACAAGGACCAGCTGTGCAGCGCAGAGAACTCAGCTCAACATCCTGTAAGGACACAAATGGAAAAAGAATCTGTAAAAGGATAGACACGTGTATATAACGGAACCACTTTGCTGTACACCTAAAACTAACACAGCGTTATAAATCAACTGGCGCCTAATATAAAATAAAAAATCAGGGATTTCCCTGGGGGTCCAGCGGTTAGGACTCTTTGCTTCCACACCGAACAGAGCGGGGCAGAGGTTCGATTCTTGGTTTGGGAAACCAAGATCCCACATGCCACATGAGGTGGGCAAAAAAGTAAACGTAAATAAAATTAAAAATTTTTTTTTAAGTTAAAGACACACGACTTTCTGACGTGTAGTATAAAATAATGAATCAAAATGAAAGCTGCAACATTGCTTATAACACATGCTGCTGAAAAACAGAAGAAGGAGGAGGAGGAGAGGAGTTAAAGGCAGAGGAGGAAGGAGAGGAAAGGGAAGGGAAGGAGCAGGACCAGCCTCACCCTTAGGAAAAGAGTCCGTGTCCTCGGCACGGTGACTGCGCTGACTGACAGTCCTTAAACAAATGTTGAGCAGAAAGATGAAAAGAAAGCCGTCAGTGACTCGTTTCAGAGACAGCTCGCTGAGCTGGGTTTCGAGCAATCTGAGTCGCAGCCTGATTCGCACCCTTGACTGACTGATGGGCTTTGGGGCGATCAAGAGTCGCTTGCACTCACTGGTGTGCTACTGTTCACTAAACACTTGCACGCGAACCACTGTGATGCATTCTTCCTCAAAATACTTACTGCCCCTCCCTGCAGGCAAGCCCTTCCCTGGAGAGAAGTCATACCTTCTGCTCCTCTGATGTTGACTAAGCCTGTGACTTCCAAGTAGATGCTTTAAGAGCCTGTATTCTTTCACCACGATCTCTTTGCCCCTCTGTCAACCAGCAGTGTCTCAAATAGAGGCTTCTTTCTGGGCCCAGCCCTGGACCAAAGATCTTGACCAAGGCAAGCCAACTCTGACCCAGCCTGGACCCACAGCACAAGCAAGAAGGAAGGTCGCTGAAATCTGGGGGCGATTTGTTACCGTTATATAACAGCCAAAGCTGACTGATAAAATTGGACTGACCTAATTTAAGATTTAACTGAAACATATAGAAGTTATGTGTCCCATGCTTCTGTTCTTACCACTGATGTCCTAGGCAGTGCAAGAAGGCAAGAAACCCCTAGAAGTTATGTTTCCCATGTTTATTCCCAGCTGAGTAAGACAGTATTCTTTCCCCCTTCCAGGACTGCCTGTGATAATAAATTTGTGAATTTCAGTTCTTCAGCTAATATTAAAACATTTAGAATAAATAGTCTCTGAAGTTCCATCCAACTCAAATCTTCTCTATTCTCTGACTCCTTTCATAGACTTCTTCGAGTCTCTGAGCTTTGCAAAGTTTTCTTCGGGAATATTCGCTCCTGTGCTTGCAAGCTTAGTCACTCAGTCATGACCCCATGGACTGTAGCCCGCCAGACTCCTCTGTTCATGGGATTCTCCAGGCAAGAATACTGGAGGGGGTTGCCATGCCCCACTCCAGAGGATCTTCCCAGCCCAGGGATCGAAGCCAGGTCTCCCACATTGCAGGCAGATTCTTTACCGACTCATCCACTAGGGAAAAGTAGTTATCTTGGATACATTCACTTAAGTGAGGTCTAAAATATTTGCATCTTATAAAAATGCCACAACTATTACTGTAGAGTTCTAGAGCATATTGATTTGTACTCCTTGATACATTCCTTTGTAAATTTGTTATTCAGGTTTTTATATATTTCCATACCACCTTTGTGATTAAACTGCAAGCTTCTTTGTTAAGACAAGAAGGTGTTTTTTTCCTGTTATCTTGCTCCTTATCACACCTTACTATGTTTTAATAGTTGCTAAAGAACTTGCTTGGTAACCAATAAATATTTTTCTTAAATTCAGAATGATGGAAACCAGATTCAACAATAGGATAAAGCATTCATTGTAAAGATTTTAAAGATGGCAACCAATTTTGTGGTGCTCCTCCCATCTAGAGATAAGAGTCTAACTTCCGTCCCATTGAATCCGGGCTAGCTTGAGAGGCTCACTTGTAACCAAAACAGTACAGCAAAAGTGATACTCTGTGACTTTGGAGGCCAAGTCAGAGAAAGTCCTGCAGTGTCTGTTTTGTTCCCTGGAACGCTTACTCATGGAGCCTCGAAGTGTAAGAAGAGCAAATACTCTAGGCCACCACTCTGCGAGGAAGCCCCAGCCACGTGCAGAGGCCACATTGCACACACGTCAGGAGAGACCGAGGAGAGCTCGGTTTTCAGGTCGTCAGAGCCCATGAGCCGGACCCGTGACGGAAGAAGCCTCCGGATAATTTCAGCAGCCAGCTTTCAGTGTCACCCCAGCTGTCTGAGCCTTCCTAACAGGGGCACCGAGCTTCATGGAGTAGAGACAAATGCTTGCTCTGCCCTTTGTCAACCCCTGAAACGCCCATAAAAGTCCATAAGCATGGTGAAATGGCTGTTGCTTTATGCTACTAAAATTTGGGGTGGTTTGTTACATAGCAATAGACAACTGGAACTTCCATAGGATGTCTGCAAAAGTCAGCCCAGACAAGTGTCACCCAAAGAAGTGTGTGTAGCCACACGCTTTCCTGCTTTGCCTGTTTTTATTAGAGTGTAGCAACCCACTGGGGTAAACACCCCTTCAGTAAGAGCAATCTGGAAGACAGGAGTATTAAAACATCAGGCAGAGATACAATCAAATTATTATCAAGCAATTGCAACAGAAAAAGAGTAGGCGCCGACAGCATCTGAGCACCTATTACTTCACCGTGCAATTGCAGCACCACCGAGGCAGCAGCCAGGGATGTCGTCACGAAGACAAGAGGAATCAGTACGGACTCCAAAGTGCATTACGGCCCACTTTTAAATAAATATGTAAAATCCGCTTTAAATTGATTCTAGCTCAGCGCGGGGCAAACTGCTGAAACGATTTTTACACACGAAGCGCAAGGAAGAGAACCGGGAGGAAGCAGCCGGCGCGCCCGGCTTGGGGCGGAGACGGCCGATCCGCTTCAACCCCCTCGGTGACGCGGCGTCCCTTACGCGAGACAGGTTCCCCTTACGGGTCTCCGGAGCCCTGCTCTGGGAGAGAAAAGCCAACACGTTTAAACGAGAACAGTTAGCTACAGCTATATATGACATATGTGACATGTATGTGTGTATGTTCTTAAAAGCCAGTGCTCTTTAATTTCAGTTCAGTTGCCTAACAAGTCTGCCCCGAGGGAGCAATAAAGCACATTCGGCTCTTTGGGGATATTTTCCTTGGGTTTGCCTGGCTGGTTGGTTGGTCAGTTTTGGAGCCAGGTGCCATATTATTTTCTATGCACTTAACGTAGGCTTTATGACATTCTCTGTGCAGGGTACTATTCTAGGCAGTAAAAGATACGGAAAGCATAACCCTTACCCTCGAAGAGCTCACCCGTCAGTAAGGGAGACACAGGTGCAGCTGAAAGGTAACTATTGTGCGATAGCCAAGACATGGGAACAAGCCAAGCGTCTATCCGTGGAAGAATGGATAAAGGAGATGTGTTACATACACACAGAGGACTATTACTCAGTGAAATAACGCCGTTTGCAGCAATGTGGGTGGGCCTAGAGACTGTCGTCCTGTGTGAAGTAAGTTAGAAAGAGAAAAGCGAATAGCATACGATACTGCTTGTGTGTAGAATCTAAAATAGGACACAAAGGAACACATCCACAAACAGAAACAGGCACAGAGAACAGCCTGGGGGCCGCCAAGGGGTGAGGAATGGGGGGATGGAGTGGGAGGCTGTGCTTGGCAGACGTGCGCCTTCATATAGGATGGAAAAACAACAACGTCCTACCATAGAGCAGAGGGAGCTATATCCATATGATAGACCGTAATGGAAAAGAATATTGAAAAAGAATGTGTATATGTACAATGGAATCACTTTGCTGTATAGTGGAAATCAACATCGTAGATCAACTATACATCAATAAAAATATCAAAGCAAAAAAGTGTTATCTACTGTGCAAAGGAGGAGGTTCTAAGAGCAGAAACGAAACCTCTTCAGTGCGTACAAGCCTATATCAGAAAGTTTCAACTGAATTTGAACATTAAATGGTCCAAATCACATTGATCCTTCTTTTCAAGATGGCAGCCTCCTTAGGAAAAATAATTTTGATTACATGCTTTTTTAAATCCCTCACCGTGTCTTTCAGGTATGTTGCCACATAGCATTGCTTACTAAATAGGTATGGAGTTAACGCGTGCAGTGGACTTGGTGTAAGATCTACCACTTAGAACCTACCCACCCAGGTGTCGCTCGTGGTAAAGAACCCACCTGCCAATGCAGGAGACCTAAGAGATGCAGGTTCAGTCTTTGGGTTGGGAAGCTCCCCTGGAGGAGGGCCTGGCACCCACTCCAGCGTCCTTGCCTGGAGAATCCCACGGACAGAGGAGTCTGGAGGGACTACAGTCCAGAGGGTTGCAAAGAGTCAGACATGAAAGAGGCGACTTCGCACAAATGCACCAACAACAGCTTGGTGTCCCAGGCTCTCCTTGCCTATTAATACTTCCGTGATGTCCATGGTTCTTGTTCTTATCCTCCCACTTTTTAAAAGCTGTCAATGTGGTTTTTTTAAAACTTGAAGTGTTACCTTCAGAATTTTGTATTTTGAGCTTTATCATGAATTGTGAAATAAAAGAGTTGGTTCCCTGCACAAGAAAGTGATCCTTCTCTTTGTACTGAAAACAGATAGATAAGCATGTATTTCACCACCTATGAAACGACTCAAGTCCTGTCTTCCTTACCCTACTTCCAGCCAGAAAGTGGTCCCACAGTCATGGGGTCCATAGTCTGCCAGCTCTGGAGGACCTCTGATGAAAGATGTCTTGACTCTAAAATATGAAGATAAACCTGCAAAACTGAAATGAAAACTGCTTAAATACCTTTGAAGTATAAACTTATATTACCTAGATGATTGCACATCAGCTTCTACATAATTGTAGAGAACTTATATGTAGTGTGGGCCACGGGCATGTTGAACATAAATTAAGAAAGCAGTGGACATATGTTAGCAAAGTCCGGGTGCAGAGGGGACCGTTCTCGGCCTGCAGCCTTTGCTGTCCAGCCCCTGCTTTTCCCTAACGAGGCTCTGCCTTTGTGCAGATGCCCATCACTTCTGCAAGCAGCTGAGTGTCTCGGGGAAAACCGACTCCAGTTCTAGAAATAAACTTCATGGTCTAATGGTGCTGACACTCCCACTGGCAGTGTTTGGTTCAGAAGATGGCACACAGCTCAGCTCTGGCCAGTGAGATATGAAAAGTGCCCAGGGAGGGGTGTTCTGGGGGAAGCTTCTTCTCCTCTAAAAGAGAGGCAGCCCCTTACGCCTGAAATTTCTCTGTCTGAACACGAGGTCTGGAGCTACTCCAGCCAGTTTGCTGAAACCTGAGGAAAAGCCAGCACTGAGGAGGGCGGAATGAAGAGGCGGAAAGTCCCCGGGTCCTGACCACACCCTCCGGCTGCTGACTCCTCCGTGTGGGGCTGTGCTCAGCCGTGTCCAACCCTCCAGCGGCCCCGAGGACTGCAGCCCACCGGGCTCCTCTGTCCGCGGGGTTCTCCAGGCAAGAACACTGCAGTGGGCTGCCTTTCTTCTCCAGGGGACCTTTCCGACCCGGGGAAGGCGCCCATGTCTCTTACGTCTCCTTGCATGGGCAGGCAGATCGTCCACCCCTGCTCCAGAGCTCGACTGGGACTTCCTACCCAGTGAGATAAACACGGCTCCTTTGTTTAATCCAGTTTCATTCAGAGCTTCCTTACTGCCTTCTAGGTACCCTGTCAGCCTACCCCAAGAGAAAACATCCCAGTTCTCGCGTTTCTGCTATCATCTGTTTCAGGCATTTTCAAAGAATGACCAAACATCTTTCCATCACTGGTGGGAGGTCTCCCAGCACAAGGGTCACCATCATGCTGGTTCCAAGGCGGTTAGTGATACCTGTGTGAATAGAACATACGCTTTCTCACAGCAGTGTCACGCGTTCATTCCTTTTTTGGCTGAAGGATATCATCTATTTTTATATGTTTTCAGCTTCATATTATTCTTTCTTTTTGACGTATATTTGGTTTACAATGTTATGTTAGTTTCATGTGTACAAATATCAGAGGTTGATATATTTATAATATATATAGGTAATATATATATTAATAATAAAATTACATAATTATATATAAAGAATGTGCCTGCCAATGCAGGAGATGCAAGATGTGGGTTCGACCCAGTGATACAACTGAGTGTGCACGCACACACCCACATATATATACATATATATATTCGTTATTCAAAAATCTTTTCCTTTGTAGATTATTACAAGATATTGAGTATAGTTCTCTGAGCTATAAAGTAGGTCCTTGTTGGTTATCTATTTTACATTTGGTAGAGTGTATTTGTTAATCTCAAACTCCTAATTCATCCCTCCCCCAGCTCTTTCCCCTTTAATAACCAGAAGTTTGTTTCCTCTGTCTGACATTCACTCTTGACAATGGCTAAATTCAGCCTTGTGTCTGGTTCAGTAAACTGTTGCCCATTGGCAAGTCCCATGGACAAAAATCTCTCTAGTAGATTTTCAGCATGAAAGCCACTAATGAAGATATCAGTTGCTTCTACTTAAGTGTTCATTTGTGTGCCTATCTGGAACTTGACCTACAGAACCATGTGACTAATAAATTGGGTATTCTTGTAAGCCATTAAGTCTGTGACATTTGTTTCAGAGCACTAGAAAAGAACTAGGGTGTCATATAAATCATGCAAACATTTTTAACACACAAAATGAGTAATATATGCTAGGGGTCAGCAAACCACAGACCGTGGATTCAGTCAAGGCCATGATCTGTTTTTATACAGCCTACAAGCTAAGGATGGTTTTTACATTTTTAAAGCTTTGTAAAAATTAACATTTCATGCAAGGATGGGCACAATAAAGGACAGAAATGGTAAGGACCTAACAGAAGCAGAAGAGATTAAGAAAAGGTGGCAAGAATACATAAAAGAACTATACAAAGAAGGCCCTAATGACCCGGATAACCTTGATGATGTGGTCACTCACCTACAGGCAGACATCCCGGGGTGTGAAGTCAAGTGGGCCCTAGGAAGCATTACTATGAACAAAGCTAGTGGAAGTGGTCGAATTCTAGCTGAACCATTTCAAATCCTAGAAGATGATGCTATTAAAGTGCTGCATTCGCTTTCCTTTTCCAGTAAGTGGCCTGAGCTGACCCTTGAAAATGGTGCACTATTCACTCGACCCAGAAAACCCCACAAAATCATGCAAATCAAGAGGTTCAAATCTTCGTGTTCACTTTAAGAACACTCGTGAGACTGCCCAGGCCATAAAGGGTATGCATATCCGAAAAGCCACCAAGTATCTGAAGGATGTCACTTTAAAGAAGCAATGTGTGCCATTCCGTCGTTACAATGGTGGAGTTGGTAGGTGTGCACAGGCCAAACAGTGGGGCTGGACGCAGGGTCGGTGGCCCAAAAAGAGGGCTGAATTTTTACTACATATGCTCAAAAATGCAGAGAGTAATGCTGAACTTAAGGGCCTAGATGTAGATTCTCTGGTCATTGAGCACATCCAAGTGAACAAAGCCCCCAAGATGCGGCGCAGGACTTACAGAGCTCACAGTCGGATCAACCCCTACATGAGCTCTCCCTGCCACATTGAGATGATCCTTACTGAAAAAGAACAGATTGTTCCTAAACCAGAAGAGGAGGTTGCACAGAAGAAAAAGATATCCCAGAAGAAACTGAAGAAACAAAAACTTATGGCCCGGGAATAAATGCCGCAGAAAATAAATGCAAATAAAAGTAAAAAAAAAATAAATAAAGTGCTGCGTTCAATATGTCAGCAAATTTAGAAACCTTAGCAGTGGCCATAGGACTGGAAAAGGTCAGTTTTCATTCCAATCTCAAAGAAAGGCAATGCCAAAGAATGCTCAAACTGCGGTACAATCGTGCTCATTTCACAGGCTAGCAAGGTAGTGCTCAAAATCCTTCAAGCCTGGTTTCAGCAGTACGTGAACCAAGAAATTCCAGATGTTCAAGCTGGATTTAGAAAAGGAAGAGGAACCACAGATCACACAGCTAACATTAATTGGATTGTGGAGAAAGCAAGGGAACTCCAGAAGAACATCTATTTCTGCTTTATCGACTATGCCAAAGCCTTGA